TGTGCTGTTAGCTTAAATATTAGTGAATTCACATATCAAAACATTTGAAGGTATGATTTTTATCTAGGGTTACAGGTAGGAATTTATTGATATTACTTTTAAGTAGGTTATGATCATTTTAAAATTTAGTTAACTTATTYAAAACTAATATCAAAAAAAGTATACGACATGAATTTTAGAATAGGTCAATTCATTATTATATCAAAACTACCACATTATTACAACTTATGAATGAAAATGTAATTTCTTACACGCAGAAACAGAGACATGCACATGGAGGGGGATGACAAATCTTTTAAAATTATTCATGAAAATACACACATAAATACGCAATAAATTGATCATTAAAATTTAATTAAAATCAATATTGTTTTATAAGTAATTATTAGGAAACAAAATTTAAAAATAATTCATTATAGAGTTTCTGAGAAATTAAATCATTTATAAATGTCAGACTATCAAGCAAATGGTATTTAGATGGCATTTTTAACAGGATTGAACACTTCTAYATAGATGACATCAATTTGTATAATTTTAGTAATTCAGTATATCGCCTAAATAGAAGATTCTTAAGTTAAATTACAAAAATATTTGAATTCTTGAAATAATAAACGAATTTCTAAAGGCTTGTTCTTTTAGACAGCACAACGAGTCCTCTTGAGTTAAATATAATCATTGTTTACATAAAATGTATCAATAAATAAGAAAATTGTATTAGACAAGAGGCCTACTAGTATAAAAACAAACCAGAATTATATCTAACTTGATATATTATAAGATTTTTAAAAAATATACCCAATAATGGGCTAATTTAAATGCTTATAAATTGTATAAAATGTATATTAGGTATATTAAATCAAATAAACAAACCCCCAGTAATGACGGAGACCACGGTGAGCTTTAATTTTCTTCAACCTTTCCAAATCTTCACGCAATTTGCTGTCAAGGGTACTGGAGGTAAGCTATAAATTCAAAAAATAATCATGAGTTAATTTTGGTAGTTATAATGATATATACTGAATTAAAAATAACACAAATTTATTCAAATTAACATACTTGAGAGAATTTTCCATCAACAACATCCTTTTGTCTATTTAAAAACCAGTCTGGAATTTTGTATTGACGTGGATTTTGCATAATTGTGATAATTTTTTCAACCTAAAAAATAATAATGCATAATTATTTTAAATTCATGTATTGCACAAATCTAAAATTCTAATATAAAAACATTTTTAACAGAATAAATAAAATATTGGAGTATCTTTCTTTTCCGTGTTATCGAAGAACCAGAGAGGAAACCTACTGTTACTGTTAGCATTGATTTCCCCCAATATTAGAGTATCTAAATGATTTAATTCAATTACAAAATTATTTAACTAAAAATTTCATAAATTGATATTCATATTAAATATGTAATTAAACAGAAACTTGACAAAATCTATAAGACATGGTCATTAAGTAGTTCTATACATAATTATCAATTTTGCACAATCTACCAATTCCATAACGTATGAACATTATGTACCGTTTATTGTGCTTTGTTTAATTCAAATAGTAGTCAAAAACAAAATATAATTTTAACTGAATATAGCCTAATCTAAAATCATACAACAGCGTAGTTAAAATKAATCACAGGAAAAAACAACAATTACACAATGAACTGTTGATCATACRTATCCATGAATACAAACATATATTATTACACTTAATCAGGGCAATTAATTGATCAAAGAACATTAACTTTTTTACATGATTTATGAGAAATTATATTTTAAACCTCTTATTAATTGATGTTTATTTTTTATATTCTTAAATTATACATTAAAATAAATCTAATTAAATTAATTTGTATTATTAGTTATAAATTTATATAATGGTTATACCATGGCTAGCAGGTATTTTATGGTATAATCATACCGATGGTAACCACATAATTATATAAAAGAAGCACCACAATAGTATTTGAAGCAGAATACTGTTAATGCAACATAGTTCCATCAAGTCAATAGCACAGTAAAGGCTAAAATAATATTTAAAAAAATGTCTTTCATAAAAACAGTCACTCAGTTTATATTGACTAAGCACTCAAAAGTAACTTAAATAATAATTGCAATAATATTGTCATGGTAAAATAAAAGTATATTGATGTTTAATTGTCTCTCCACCGATAGAATATCAAATGAATATTTTGCATTTATATTATCCTAATGTAGATCTTGTTTTAGCACAAATATTAAAACATTTACTTAATAATTAAATAAACGCAATATTTTTATTAAAATACTGTGCATGATAATTTTGACATTAAAAATTAAAATTACCTAACTATTTATTAATTCAGAATGAAGATTTTACTGTACACTATTAACAAAATATTTTATAGACACTGATAAATTGCAGCCATGTCCTTAAAATAAATCTGAGTAAATAACAATTAAATAGAATTTACAAAATAGATTTATATATAAATGATTAATTTTGCACAATTTACCAATTTCATTATATACAAATATAATGAACCGTTGATTATNTAGTTATAAATTTATATAATGGTTATACCATGGCTAGCAGGTATTTTATGGTATAATCATACCGATGGTAACCACATAATTATATAAAAGAAGCACCACAATAGTATTTGAAGCAGAATACTGTTAATGCAACATAGTTCCATCAAGTCAATAGCACAGTAAAGGCTAAAATAATATTTAAAAAAATGTCTTTCATAAAAACAGTCACTCAGTTTATATTGACTAAGCACTCAAAAGTAACTTAAATAATAATTGCAATAATATTGTCATGGTAAAATAAAAGTATATTGATGTTTAATTGTCTCTCCACCGATAGAATATCAAATGAATATTTTGCATTTATATTATCCTAATGTAGATCTTGTTTTAGCACAAATATTAAAACATTTACTTAATAATTAAATAAACGCAATATTTTTATTAAAATACTGTGCATGATAATTTTGACATTAAAAATTAAAATTACCTAACTATTTATTAATTCAGAATGAAGATTTTACTGTACACTATTAACAAAATATTTTATAGACACTGATAAATTGCAGCCATGTCCTTAAAATAAATCTGAGTAAATAACAATTAAATAGAATTTACAAAATAGATTTATATATAAATGATTAATTTTGCACAATTTACCAATTTCATTATATACAAATATAATGAACCGTTGATTATGCTTATTTGTAAATTACAATCACATTATAGAATTCAGAAATTTAGTATTTACATTTCTACTAAAAGAATATAATATATTGTTGTCTCTTCACCGATAGAATATCAAATGAATAAATTGCATTTATATTATCCTAATGAAGAATATGTTTTAGCACAGATATCAGAACATTTACTTGGAAATTAAATAAACGCAATATTTCTATTAGAATAMTGTGCATGGAATTGATGATATTAAAAATTAAAATTACCTAATTAAATTTTGGTAAACTTAAAAGGGTAGTCGGTAATTGTAAATATTTATTGTCTTAGTACCTAGTAATATTTTTAATATTAATACTTAAAAATATATAAGATAATGCTGTCAACACATATTATTAAGAATTAAATATCAACAAATAACTCAAAAACAAACAGTATTATTTGATTTTGCACAATTCAACCATTAAGCATTACAAGTGATTGTAAGCAAAATTTCTCAATTTGTGCTACAAAGTTTCGATTCGTAGAGAAAATTGTCTACAATGTAGGTAGAAAAAACTATTTCCATACAGAAATGGACTTTCACAAATCAATCATATTAACAGTTCAATATAATACCTCGTACCAAGAAACAATTGAAAAATATATTCAACCATTGAAATTATTCCTTCACATGCATGGGCCACTTGGTAAGTCTACCAAAAGCCCTTGGTAATTGCAAGGCATTTGCTTTAGCAAACGTAAAATAGTATTACGTGAAATAATTAACGTAATATTCTCAAAGACGCTTGCATGTGTCTTGAACGGAGATGACAATATTAAATACATACAAATTATCAATAGGTACACAGAGCTGGTGGCTAACAGACTGACCCCCCTCCCATTGACCACATTATTTGTTTTTATATTATTAACCCATGATTTAATATAATATCTTAAATCGTGTGTATAGGTACCTAATTATTACAACTTTAGTCTATAAATATAACTAGTATATGACCAAGTATCTAATTTATCAAACCTGATATTGAGACAACTGAGGTTTTCAATTTCAAGTCCTCCCTCATTRAAAATTTTGAGTAGGTACGCTACTACAAATTGATCTAACAAAGATAACTAAATTAATAAATAGTACAAACCTCTTCGTCTGTACATTCTCCGGCTCTTTTGTTCAAGTCGACGTCTGCTTTTTTCAACACAATGTTGGAAAACCGTCTGCCAATTCCCTTGATGGCGGTCATAGCGAACATGACTTTACGTTTGCCATCGATGTTGGTGCTGAGGATACGCAAAATGTGCTGGAACTTTTCAGGGATGACCAAAGACTGAAAAAACACCAACAATCAACGGCTAGAGAAAAAATTGTGAAAGGCACGTCAACGACTCAGGTGCCGACAGATTCCGGTGAACGGCCGGATTTCATGGCAATCGCGTCCAACAGTTTGTTGTTCCAGTAAGATTCCATTACGATCCGAATGGATTAAAAATCAAAAATCAAATACGGTACTCACCATTTTGGCAATGTTGTCGTCAACAAGCACGAACGAAAAAGATTAAGGTTTGTATTTGTAACCAGTCGTGGATGAATAACATATAACGCAACGCTACAAGACGTACCGGATTTGAGGAGGGGGTTATCGAATCATTCGGATATTCTGGCTACCAAACATAATATTATACCACTGTTAAAAATTACAGTGGTGCCAACTCATTGTTTACGAGATAAAAATGATCATGGTTATGATTTCATGGATAAATGCGGGGCTGAACCATTCTTTCCAAATTTCAAATTTCTCCAAAAAACTAGTTTTTCCCAAACTGAAAAATAAACGTTGGTTATAATGGTTTTTTACATAACTTGATAATCAAGGTAATCTGATAACCAACCCAAAATAYCGAAAATAAAACGGTGCAGTAAGTTCGCTACCTATGCCCATAACTTCCTTAACTATAAAATTAATACCTTATATAAATAAACTTAAAATGAACTTGTATTTTTATCATACGGTCTAAGCCAACACTCACAATTCACAACTCAGGAGTGTCGTTAATAGTTGGCTTCTTCCACCGGGTCTTCATATTATTAAAATTAATTATATTCTAGGTACCTATCATTTTAGTTTTTAATTGTTTAGATCGATTCTTCAAAAAAAAAAGTCATAGCCAAACCAACTGTTGGCATAAAACAATAAGTATATATTAATTCATACTTCGTTAGTTATTTATTTTATATATTCTATGTGTCTCACTGTTTCATTTCGCATTCAGAATTCTATTCTGCAACTTTCGAACAGGTCAATTCAATATTTCAATATGACATTATGACGTATKGACGTGCATTCACTTGAAGTAATGAAGTCAGACACAACAGCGATGATAGATGGCGTGACTGTTACATCAGAATGCATTGACCGAATATAATATTTATTTACAACAGTCAACAATCGTAATAATTACCGACAACATAAGTTGTGTTTGCTGGGCCACTGAGGGGGAGACGTGAAGATAACTCCATCTTCTCATTGACCGTATTATTATTTTTATTTTCAAAAATATTTTTCAACTTTCAACTATATAGTCAACTAGTGAACAAGTAATATATTCATATTATACTTTATAACTTATAATAGATTAGCTAAGCCTAATAACTGTATAAATGTATAATGATTAATGTATGTGTTAAATTTGAATTTAATGGTATTTATGTTACTAATGAATATATCATACAAAAAAATGAAACTGAGTAAAAATAGTATGTCTACTGTCCAGYCTAGGGTATTTTGTTTTATCTTATTGTTTTAATGTTATTTTTTAGTAACAAATCAATTGTGTTTGTCAAAAATTTAAATTTAAATGTTTTTTAAAAACAACTGCTCATATATCGTTAACTAAAAACCGCCGAGTTATCATGCGAATTACGATGTGTAATAAAACTCTCCAAGTATTTGGTTAAAATCTAAAGCTTAATACTTTTCTCTTGTTCGTTCTATTTTATAGCTCAGTTATTTGAAATCCTCGTCAATCTAGTTCTAACCTCAATCAGCTTTTATTGTTATTAATTAATTAGGTACATAGAATACTATGTTAAATAATAATAATATAATATAATACATAGTATTCTATGTTAGGTATGTACATTTTATAATATTTTTAGCCAATAAATATATTATGTTGTGTGTACTAGTTTTTGTACTAATCCTGCTGTAGAAGGAGAGCACATAATATGACATATAATCAATAAAAAAAAAATCTTTAACTGGTTCATTACGAGTAAGTACCCGAAATTAATAAAAATAGGAAATTTAATACCGACCTATAGTTGTATTTTTACATTATCCGAGAGTACCTATACCTACGTTCCGTCATAGCACCAATATAATATTACCTAGGTACTAATATTAGGTTCGTCTTACCATATATTTTACTATACTTCGGACCCTAATACAAAAATAATAGCCCTTTAATATTACTTGCGAAAAATGATACAGACAATATGAATACTTAATAATCCGTATAGGAACTCAGTTCCGATACTATGATTGTGGACCCTATGCAATTTWTAAAAGCAAGGCCCCTTCAATGCCAAATAAATCAACGGTACAAACGGTATATTGCATATTTCCTGTACACCAYTCACGCTACCTCCACAGASGCTTACTGGTTATAAATTTACCGTTCTTGTTTAGCGAGCTTTTTTTCTCATGGAACTCGAGAAATAATAAAACGGCTACCTACTATATTTAACGTAAAACACTCATTATTAACGTTTTTGCGAATATATTTTTTTAAATAATTTAAAGTCGTTAAAAACAATAAAACTTTAAATAAACTTTACCTATTTATATTTATAACTATTAAACTATTTTGATTAAAATTTGATTTTAGCATATCTAACTATTCCGAATAATATTTTGAAATAATGAGAGCATAATATTAAATAGATTGCACCGAATACATTCTTGACGCGATTTAGAAATTTTATCTATAGCTGGTCGAAGAAAGCACAGCATAATAAATAATAATATATAACGAATAATAAAATATAGGTTATATATAGGTAGGGTTCATACAGATCCTCCCTCCTCTGCTGTCGCTTTAAACGGGAAAAAAAAAGGTTATATATAGGTATCTGCAGCGTTGGTAAAATCTAATCGTTCCAAATAATATTTTACGTCGACTGTCACTTGAAAAGTCAAAACTTATTTAATTCTTTCATACAGCTAAGTCATAGGTACCATAAAATAATATATTATTACGAATACAATTATGCGAGCCCATAGGTATCAACTATCAACACGAATTAAATATAGTATACATCATTAAACGATGGCAGCAGAGGAGTAGTGCTTTCCAAATAGAGCCTCGTCTGCTATCGGTTAAACAGGAAAAAAAAAGGTRGGTATAAGCACAAATATTATATATCATCTAAGAAGAGATCCGGTAAACTATATAAAATTATTTATACTAATATAAATTAAATATTATTATACATTTTACCTGCACGAACTCGTGGCTCTATTATTTGAATACTTATTATTCATTATCAATGGTCAATGGACAATAATACTTTTACTTACTAGGTATTTACTAGTTACTTATTGTAAAAGACACTGACGTTTTGTGTGAAAAACTAGTGGTGAAGGGACAAAATAATTTAATTTAAAATTGAAACCATCACCTAATTGTTTGTTTTTATACACAAGTCTGATAGTAAGATATAATACTATAAGTATACTAAGTAGGTAGTAAGATCAATAGGAACATCAGGACACTTATATTTAAAAACTATAGGCGAAGTATGACAACCCCAGAATGCAACGTTTATTTTATGTTGCAATGATCAGTGTTCTCTAAAAATACAATAATWAATTATTTAAAAAAAAAAATAATAATATATGACAATTCATTCCTTGTATAATAACTGTAAATTTAGGTATATATATATATATTTTATTAAGAGGACACCATACCCGCATGTGTTGTCTCCGTCTTACAAACGTATAACTATAGCAAAATCTGTTTAGTGCGGGACAACTTTTCTCCCTCAATATTTATAATAGAATTTTCAAAATTTCACAATGCATAGGTAAAAACTTTATCTGTGTCATAGTGTCATTATTTTTTTGATAGCACAAACCAATAATTTTTAGTAATTTAATGAAAAAATAAAAAATAAATGTATTTTTTTAAGCTTATAACTTTATTTATATTTATGTTATTAAAAAAATAACGACGCTATGACACAGATAAAGTTCTTACCTATGCGTTGTGAAATTTTGAAAATTCTAATAATTCTATTATAAATATTGAGGGAGAAAAGTTTTCCCGCGCTAAACAGATTTTGCTATGTGATACGTTTGTAAGACGGAGACAACACATGCGGGTGTGGCGTCCTCTTAAGCTTGATAGCGAAGTACTATATACAATATGTACTCTAATAATTTTATATTAATATTGTTTAATTTTCTACGTCCATGCTGGTATAATAAAATATTGTATAATATACATAAATTGTTAATAATCTACATTTCTTCTTTTTAKATTCGACCTGTTACCAGTATAGTACCGAAGTTGGTAAATAAGTTAAAGAATATAGGTACAATAATTTAGAGAAGTAATACATGAATTTTGAAGTATTTATGAGGAGGCTGTGTTTTGAAAACGACGTCGTTCTGCTTGTTCACATAATCTGAATAAGACAACGAATATATACATTGAAATCCAAATCTTTCAACAGCTTTTGCAGTAAAATGACTGGAGCATTCCACGTAAATCATTTGGTACCCTAACTCCAATGCCAACTCTCTAGAAATTAACATATTATTAAATTAATGTTATTAAAATATTACCAATAGTTCTATAATACATATCTATATTTAATACATGAAAATCATTTTTTTTTTTTTAATAAAGAAATAGATTTATTTAAGTTGTTTTTTGACACTTTAAACTTAATCACTGAGGCCACTGAAGGAACCTACTCAAAAAATTGTTTGTTTTTATTGATAGAGACTGTGGAGGAATAGGCATTATTGATTATTTAATTATAACCAACATATATTACGAATTAAAATTTACAATATATGTATAAGCAAAAAATATTTTCAAATAATATTTCGATAATTTGAATCTTTAAGCCCACAAAAGTCAAAACCCATAGGCCGTACTTATAACGGCGCTTACCACTAACAAGGTAACAGAGACTGAGACCAGTAGCAAATTTTCAAAATTTTTCTGATTGGATCTTGAAAAATAATATTATTTCAAAGTATGAAACTATACATATGGTATTGTCTTTAAAGGTGGTCTAGTACCCCTGCACCATCACACCCTTCATAAATACACCATTGGCTGAATTTTGCATTTGTCTGACTTTTCCCATCTTGATCAATGACTTTAGGTACTTTTGAACTTATTAACATTAATTGAAAGTAAAAATGAGTTGTTGTCTATACATAATCTAACTTAAACATTCTGAGTAAAATACATATGAAGAATGACACTATGATGTTAAACTACTGATGTTTTTTTTTTTTTGATTGTAATTAAGAAAATTAAAATTTGCTTACTATAAGAGGAGCATCAATAAAGAAAAAATAGATACTTAGACAAAAATTATAGGATCTATTSTTATTTTTTATTGAATTACCAATGTTTTTCTTATATTTATTATTCGTTTTACTTAAGTAGTGGATAAAATATCACGAATTTGAGTGAATTGTAACAAATTACATTATACTTGCCACTTGGCATAGTTTTAATTAAGAGGACGTCGCACATGCATACTATGTTGTCTCCGTCTAACGTCTTACGTACTTACGAGTGTACGACATACCAAATTTTTGTTCAASACTTTTGTGCTGTTGCCTGTTAGTTTTTATGTTACTAATTTACCATTCATCAAAATTTTAGGTAAAACATTATCTGTATTCTCTCGTCGGCTTATTATGATATTTTGATTTTCAAGTTTGTAAATTATTAATATTTAAAAAACTGGGTAACGATCTGCTGTACACAAGGGCGCCGCGAGGGGGGTGCAAGCGGGTRCAATTGCCCCCTGGCTTAAAAAAAAAATGTATGGTATTGAAAAGATTAATTATCTATTAAAAACTTTGTATCTGACTAAAAAACAAAAATAACTTCGTATATTCATATAATTTRAAAAAATATTTCTACGTATTTAACTAAAATAATTTAAACATTATTTAGAAATCAAAGTATACTATGCACGATGCACCCCCCGACAAAATTCCTGGCGGCGACTATGGCTGTACAATCATAAGTGTCTAGAGAGTTACTTTAATGAATGTGTTAAATTTGAATTAAATTATATAATATCATTGTATACAAAAAACGATTCTGAKCGCAAACAGTCTACAGTTAGTTTGAAATATTACTATAAGTACCTAGATATATTTTATAATATTATTGAGTTTAAACTTATAAAGTAATTTATTTTATTATATCATAGGTATTGGTACTATARTATGTATTACTTAGTTAAAATGGTTAAATTAATTTTTGTCAAAAAAATTGCATTTGTAAATTTCATAATATATATTTAGTATAGTAATATATCTGCTCTACAAATTATAGAGTACCTATCCACTAAAAATATTTTTTAAATACAACAACATGACTAAAATTGTTATTCACAGTTTAAATATGTAATTTTATACAAATTGTATCTTAAAATAAGTAAATAAGTATAAAATGTATACACAAACACACACAAATAAAAATAAATATGAAAAACACAAATCGTTTTCATCGCTCCTCGGAAAATCTAAAATGTTCATAACTTACTTGAAAATTAATATACCGTAAAAAAACCGCAGAACGAACACAAAAAATGTCCTTGCCCAATAGTTTAACAGTATTGGTCAGTTCGCTTTGTCACTCTGATTTCAAAATTAAAAGCACACTATTGAAACTAGTGAACGAAAATGTATTTACGTGACAACACGTCATACGGGTTTGATGTTCTCAACAATTTCAATGTTTAAATTATAAAAATATTCATTTTATTTAATACACTTCATAGTTTCAATATTGTCAAGATCATGTCTATTTTTCTTTAAAACTATAATCATTTTTTGGTTTTCCTTAAAAATGAGACACTTTTTCGATTGATTTAGTATCAAGTATCTATCAATTGTTTAGTAATTAATATTACCATTATATACAAATTATATTTTAAATATACTTAGACTTGTTGATGAGGGCCTTGCAAACGCCTTGTCCTCTATATGCCTCATTTACTGTAATAATCTTTAACTCCATTATACGATTGATATTTGGATAATGCCCAAACACATCAACATCTCGTCCAGCTTTGTCTAATAAAACCATGATATCATTAAACTTTGAACTTTTATCATTGTTCTCGTCGCCGAATTGTTTTATTTCGTTATCTCTGCATATTGTGGTATTCAACGAGGCACCCACCATTTCCCCTGTCTCTGCAGATACTGCCATAAACGATACGCCTAAATAGTATAAATCGTGTTTTGTTTATATAATATTAATCCATGTTAGTATATATAAATTATTACTTAAATTTACAATAGATACAACATTCATTCAAAAAAAAAATTACAGAAGTTCATATTTTTAATTTAATTTTTATTATTTGTCTACTTTTTGACTTTCATTCCTATTTTTAAGACTTAAATTTTAACCTTACTTATTTTTGATTATAAGCATATTTTAAACGAATATCAATAATCAATTTTCAATATACATGTTACCGAATAAAAAAATATAATAAGATGTGATAGTCATATTATATATTATAATAAATACATAATATATATTATTATACATCCTGTTTTATAGAGGATTGTCCTTTATTTCGGCTTTGTGTCCTGTTGTCCTAACAAACTTCTCTCAAGATGTTTTTTGTCCCGTAATTTCAAGTCTGCCCCCTATTAACTCCGTTTTTTGCTTTACTTATTGTTAATTTATAATTTTTGAAATTTATTTATGAAAAAATTATTTTTTTACTATTTTTTAGTACGACATAAATGAATATAGTGGCCGTGCCAGGGACGGGCTAGGTGGGGTCATGGATCTACCTGAAAATGCCTGACTCTACCAGTGGCCCTACCTGACCTTAGACATAATAATATAGTCATTTTTCATAAGCAAAAAATATTAAATAATGGTATTTGTATTTTGTTCACTGTTTGTAATTTAACATTAACAATATAAATCCTTCTAAATTATATTATAATATGATAATTATTGATAATATTCCTAGAATAAATAATACTCCTACAGTCCTACTTGTATTAATAATTTATTAGTTTTAATTAGAACGAATAGAACGTATTAAGAATTTTTTAAGATAGTATCGTACCTATTCGATATTAGTTATTAGCCACTATACCTACCAATTTATCATTATAGACCTATAAACAGTATAAACTAATGGACTGCGCTTAGAGAAAGAAACAGTCAGCCAACATTGAGCAAAGGAGATAGAGTTACAAGTTAGGAAAACGGTGTTATAAACATGAAAAAATTGGTTTATGAAAATAACACTATGGAAAAAAAAAATGCCAATAGAATAAAACGAATTTAGATAGGGAATATTATATTGTATTTTGAACAAAATAAGAATTTAAATAACAAATGAGTTAGATAAGATATTCTATGATTTTCTGATATAATAAGCGGTATAAGTATCCAGAATCAATAAAATTTTTAACATATGACAATTTCCTTTTGCAAAAGCTTATTTAGGTGACATAGAATACCTAAAATCAGAATTAAAAATATTATATAAGTCCATGAACCGTTATGAAACAAGAAATTAAAGATGTTTTCCAATTTCATAACACTGATGAAATAATAAATAATTTTGTAGATGCAAAAATTCCAAAAAAATTGCCGTTCAGTGCCCACTGCCTTCCGCCGGCCCTGCGTACAATAATATATTTACTATATAATATTATAATAAATATATCCAATTAAAATTCAAAAATAATAATAATAAATACTTATTATATCATTATATTATTATATATTTTTGTCCTGTATTATATTTTTTTAAATATGTTCACCCTAATAAATAAACTAAATTAATAAACATGTACCTTCGATGCCATCACAATAACGCCTACATTTTTCAATAATACATTTTTTTTAAATATAATATTCTCTTATTATAATACTTAATTTAATAATCAAGTAAATTATTATATACTTATACCTATGTATTTTTAAGTGTTAATAAGTTTCACATTTTGTATTTTTAACATTTAAAATTTATATATATTACTGATAATTAATATAATAAAGTCCTCCACTCAAGATCTCATGAATTTAAAGCGTTATCAGTTTTTTTTTTTGTGTGTGATAAATTTAAAAATAAGTTGTAATTTTAACAACAAAATTCGTTGCACAAAAACAGGTACGATAAGATACAGTGAATTTTCTGGTGACGAATATTTTAAGCCAACTATGTCAAAAATACATTTATTAGATAAAGTATTTTAACCTTTTTTTTATCTTACATCGCGTAACACATATAAATACATTACATTTTACTATTTTAGGTATATATATGTATACAACAATATTCTGATCGTATTCTAATATAAACTTACTACATGTACCTACTAAATATGGATTGTATGTAGGTATCATTTGCAATTAAAATTTATCAACTTACCACTTTGTAATAAATCAGCGCAGAAATTTTCAAGTTGTACTACTGATTCTTTCTCTTCCATTAACCCTAAACTTGCACATAAAGGTTCATCGCGGAAAAAATACTGTTTTAAGGAATTCATCACAACTTGTTTATCATTATCAGTTATAGGTACCACGTTAATTGAAACTTTGGTGTTTTTGATTTCATCCATCATGTTATTGCTCAATATCTGAAAAAATCATCATATTTAATGCTATGATGTTTATATCATAGCTTTGATCCACTTTGAAAATTATAACTCTTAATACTAAAACATTAAAATATATTTTCACAATTTAATAATTCTCACTTTAAAATCACTTAAAACGTCACTTCATCAATAACTTACTCTTCTTTTCTGTCGCGAAAAGGTGTCAAATGTTGCACATTCAACAACGTTTTCCAACCATTGAGGGAGGACCTTCTCTAGAACGTTTTGTGTAGTTTAAAAAAATTCATCTATGAATTTGTATGGCTCAATGAATATGTCCTTCTAATTTGTAATATAAATTCGACTAACACGATAATAAATATTAATCAAAACTAGGCCCTTGGGTCTTGACTCTACAATATTAACGATTGTTGAATATTTCAGTACACTTTTAAATTCTATGATGGATTGTAATAATTTTCAATATCAAGCATAATGATGTTACATGGAAACAAATACCGATATTATTTTTTTTTTTAAACCACCGCAGAAAAATAATGATCAGTCTTACATACCTAGCCAAACAAAAGTCCTGGTACAGTGGTATCGTTATTTTTCTGTGTTTTATTTACCATTAACTAATAAAAGCGTCTTTAAAATATAAATTCATTTTCCCATACAAAAATACGAAGATATATATCTAGATCACAAAGTCAAATACCCCTCCCCTCCCAGTAGTTCATACACTACCTGGATTATAGACGTACAAAATTCTACTAAATGCCACAATTTTACGTCCAAAAAATCGTAAAAAAAATACCATAAAGTATGTAGAATACCTAGGAAACCACACAGAAAATTACAAAAATATATTAAACTATTTGAAATAACCAATTTCTTCAAAAGAATATAAATCCGAGCAAAAATACAAGCAGAAAACTACAGCTCAAAATTCAGTTTTAGAATTAAACTAAAACCCTAGGGCCCAGGCCATCCCTCAAAATCTATTTCCAAACATCTAAACTCATCACTAATCTTTCACAAACTTAAATAATAAATAAATAAATTTAAAAAAATTATTCCTTATTTAAACCTCATCGCTGCATCGGAAAAATATTAAAATTGTTGTTAATCGCTCATACTTATAAATTAAATATCCGAGGTGAAGATAATATAATATAATATTATATTATATTATGCTTAAACTGAATGTTAAAAAAATATCAATTAAAAATATTTTAAATAAATAACAAAAATTATCAATATGATTCATAATATTATATTTTTCATGATTAATTAAACAAAATAATGTTGATTTACATTTTAATAAAAACATAAATTATTGAAACCCATAAATCCTATATATCTATTAAATTATAGGCGGACATATAAAATAAATAAATGTTTTTATTTATTATAAAATTGCTCATAGAATTATTAAGGAATTAATAAGTACCTATAGCAATGAAAAAATATTTTATTTAACCCGTAATATTTATTTTATAACCTACTATGTAAAATTAAAAATTTTTAGCCAATAATTGTTACATTATGGTATAAAAACAATACTTACTATAACACTAACGTCATCCATTTAAAATTAAAGTTTGCAAAATATAGGACCGATGTATCGATTCAACGAGAAATTGTAAAATTATATTTAATACTATAATATGATCTAGAACAAAATAAGAACCAACAGRTAATATTAAGTCGTTTTTTTATTTTTATCGACTACATAATAAATATTGTACGAACCAATCTTGCATTTTGGAGGTTTTTCTCAACATGCATTTCCGGACCACATTCATCGTTTGACAATTTGCCTGTTTTAAAACATTAAATAATCTCGGACAATCTCTCAAAGAAATTTTTAAATCGTGATTACAAAATATATTATCATACATCGTGCTACTATTCTCCACCACCCACACGGCCACACAGTCCAATATAGGTAATTCGCCACTGATAATATTCCACTTTAAGCTACATAGGAATAGCTGTATATTAAATTTTATTCTAACCTTAATAAAATGTTTGTTTCAATGCAATAGCATAAACGTACGCGCGCTATATTTTGACACCGGATAACGGCTTAGCAACAGACGACAGTATGTATTTTACTAACTCTTTAAGGCAAACATAAAACACGTATTAAAAATCTGAACAAATCAATTAAGCTTTCAAATGTCTTCATCAAATTGTATTATTATTACTTATTCTAGTTGCTTAATTTTTTAATGTAGACATAACATGAGACATGTCATATTAGTTATACCTGTAGATAATAGCCTAAATATTTATAAAATAAATTAATTTTAAATATTTATAAAATAAATTCTAGGCACTTACTGCTTAGTACTAATTACATATAATGATATAGTCTATATTCTGTACTATCAATCAGTAAACATTAGGTTATTGGAAGTAAGCAAATAAAGCATATACGCGATAAATAAGGTTACTTGAGTAATTTTTAGAACATTGAAATGTTATGTACGATTCTATGGAATTACATAAAATGTATTCATCAAAATAATTTAAATCAAACTAAAAAAAAGCAGATAAGTGAATGTCTCTTTCTGCACAGTAGGATACAATAAATGGGTTAGGTATTATAATGGATGGTATTACCTGCAAGTTAGGTTAGGTTAGGTTTAATCTATTTAATTTAATTTAATCTATTCTGTKGTATTACATTTGAATTGATAAAATATATGTATATATAATTTATCAGTGTATGGCAGCAACGAGTTCCAAAATTTCGAATTCCTGAAACGAGTTCCTTTTTATTAAAAAATAACGAGGAACAAGACAATAGTCCTTTTTTTCAAGAAAAAATAACGAAATATTATTCGTTCCTTTTGTGTTTTAATTTACAGATATAAAAATAATATAAGTAACTTAAAATATTTATTTTTTCTTAGTGAGAATATTCAATATTGCCATTATTTGTGATCATTAATCGTTATCGAGTATCGAACTTAATCATTAGAGTAAAGAGTTAGTCATTACTAAAAATATGTACTTGTAGGTATGTATAAGTATATAACATAGATGCACTAAAACTGAAAAATACTAGCTGAACCTATAGCGCTATATTTTATACATTTTGTTTATATTTTCCAGGACGAAGTCGGGTTATACAGCTAGCATACAAGGTGATTATTTTATCAAAGAGCACTCATTATTTAAAAAAGTATTTACTTTTTTCAAAATATTTTTTTACATGGTTACAAGTTGTAAAAAACCAACGTTTTTATTAAAAAATTATATTTTTAAATATTTTTTTGTCCTTATCATTTTTTAAGTTTTTTAATTTTTTGAATGACAACATAGAGTTTTAATTTCATATTCVAAARCAGAATATYTTTYTMAGTATTTTKATTCATAAAAATCGAATTTAGGACGAGTAGTTTATGAGTTATATGTTAAAGTTAGAGAAGCGGAGTAGTGGACAAACATTTTATGGGGTAACCCCGTACCACTCTACTCTGTCAATCTAAACTTTAAATACTTATAAGTTATAACTCATAAACTACTAGCCCTAAATTCGATTTTTTTTTTTTTAATCAAAAACTTAGAAAAATATTCTGCTTTGGAATATGAAATTAAAACTCTATGTTGTCATTCAAAAAAGTAAAAAAATTAAAAAATGATAAGGATAAAAATATTTTAAAATATAATATTTTTAATAAAAACGTTGGTTTTTTAACAACTTGAAACTATTTAAAAAAATATTTTGAAAAAAGTCAATWCTTTTTTAAATAATGAGTGTTCTTTGATAAAAGAATCACGATGTATAATGCGTGTGTATAGCGTTTATATACAGGCTCATATATGCTACTTCCCACCCGTTACCGGTATATAAAAGGGGAAAAAAAGGTTCATATATGCTAATCAATCTCAACGAGGGTTTTATTAAAAAAAAATTTATTAACAGTTTTATGATTTTGAGTCTTTAATTTTGAAAGAATTTATTTATATTATATATTCTGTATAGTGTATACTCGACAATGCGAAAAAAGAAACAATATTTTGTTGTGTACCTTCACAAACAGATTTTATCATTTAACAAAAAAAAATTGTCTCAAAACTGCTAAAAAATTGTATTAGGTACCTATCATTATATGCTTAAAAGTGGCTCTCATGACGCCACTGCGCAGCTCTTTAATGTCGTGTTCTCTTTCATTGGCCCAATTCAAGTTTTAGTTTTTCTATCATCAGCCTAAACCATTATCAATAAACTAATATATTATTTTAATGGTATGTTATATATCACGTTATTGTAATATTATATTACCTTTATATTATTTTAATAGTATGTATCTCTTATTTCTTAATCTCTACTATTAAACATACTATAGGAAACCCAAAATACTATTATTATGTAATATTCATGTCTTATGAAATAAAATTAAAATAATTAAATAAACATAACAAATAATTTAATATTGAAATTTGATGTTATACATTTTGAATTTTCACACAACAGAATAATTCAAAATACAGTAATAAATACAATGAAAAACTCTATATTACGTAAATAACATTAAGTTAACTGATAATGGTTGGTTTGATTTAAAACCTATTAATATTTAATTGCTCTCTATTACGAAAACTCTCAATAACGAAAGAAATCACATGGTCCCTTCACATTCGTTATAGAGAATTTTCACTGTAGTTAGTAATTTAAAAAAATTTAGAATACATGATAGTTATCAATAATAACTAATATGTTACTGAGAATACTAATATAAAATTATTGTTATTCTATGATGTAAAATTTATACCTTATGAATAAATTAATATTTGTCATAACGAATTCATGGGTGAGGACTGAAATTAAATGTGTATCTGATTATAATTACTAGGAACTAATAAAATATAATGTTATGAATTATATTTTATTAAAACATCTATATTTTATATCACAATATGAAAGTCCATCATAATAAWGATTAATTAGAACCAAACACGTATAGATAATTTTCAAATTTTTACATTTTGGTTTTCTTATATAGTTATATAAATAAATACACAGTTATTATACTTGGTACATTTCAGTTAAAAAAAAAATACATATTAAAATCGTGAGCTAAAGCTAAAAAAACACAATAAATCCAATAATTGTAATATGTTAGAGTTATAAATAAAAACATTAATTAACCCTCCCCTCCAGTCTTAAACTAAAATAAAAAAAGCTTATAAAAATCGATAGATAAAATATATATATATATAGTAGTGTACAATAAAAAATACCTATCACTAAGTGAAGTATGTCTGTAGCACTTACCAAGCAATATTTTTTAATCGGTCATAAATCTATTAAAAGCCTTGCTCGCTTCTTCGTGGGCTTTACGTATGGCCTCGAGCGACGGCCTAGGATGGACGGGTGTTGACAACGTGTCGTTGTTGCAAATTGGCTTCCTCGGTTTTATGTTCCCATACGGATTGACCATGGCATAGCTTACGTTTTCTGTTTCGGAAGGCGATGGGCTGTAGTCACTCTCGTGGACTTTGGGTTTGGAGGGCCGCAGCGCCAACCGGAAGCGACGAGCCATGTTCGACCAGAAAAATCCTGTTGTACATTTTAAATGTCTTAGATTTTAATTTTTAATCATAAAATGTCAAAATGATTATATGTTTCATATTTTCATATCTTATATTTTTTATTATGTAGGAAAATTATAGGAAAGCACAAATTCTTTACATCATTTTCTCAAAATGATTTTTAGTTGTTTTTTCTTTTATAAAACATTTTCTATAAACTCAATTTTTGTATAAAATACCTTAAATACCTTAATTTTCATAATTATAAAAAAATTACAAATAATGTTTTTATTAAGATTTAGTATGGTTAATGTAATTAATAAAAGCTAAGTTTAAACTATAGTCTTTAATTACAATAATATATAAAACGTATATAACAGAAAAAAATGATTTAATTTCGTTTTTGTAGCACTAAGAAAAATTGATTGCGGTGATGCCTTTACGGATAAAAGAGATTTAATAAAATACATTTTAGTGATCTTACATACCTTTTTGCGTCGAACCGTCGTCTGTCGATGGCCGCTTAACACTTATGCCATTGCGCCGTGGTTTGCCGATGACGGGTGTGTCTGAGAGCGTTTGCAACGGTGTGGTTGAGAGTGTTTGCAACGGCATGTCAGGGAGCTTTTGTAACGGCGTGTCAGRGAGCTTTTGTTCCAATGGCGTGTCCTGGAAATTTTGCGTTGGTGTCTGCATCGGTGTCTGGTAAAAACTTGGCGGGCTACCCACCGACGAAACGACTACCGACCATTCGACGGGCGTGGTCGCAGACTGTGCGACGTCCGTACACGAGGCGTGYGGCGTACACGGTTGCTGCAACGGAACCGCGGGACTACTCTCGGCCACTGGGCGAAGGTGCCTGATGGTCGTCAGGCTGGACCGACGAGCTTTGAGTATGGTCCTGGCGCACATCTCTATCATCGCTGCACGCTGTTCCACGGTCCAGCGCTGTTCCTCAGTCCTACGAAGTTCCTCGGTGCAGCGCAGCTCCTCGGTACGACGCAGCTCCTCGACCCGGCGGTGATGACGCTGCTCCAACAATCGCAGGCCGCTACCGATGGACTGCGCCGTGTTCGAGATGCTAGACACGCCGTGCAATCTCTTCCGTCCGGAAGAGTGACCACCGGCATGGACCGTCTGCTGTTTTCCTGGATGCTGCAGAACATGCGACGACCGGAAACGGCGTCTGATCACCGGCCCTCCCGGAACTGCGACATGTACGCGCCGCTCGTGTTCCACCCGGTGTTTGGTGCAACAGAAGACGCGGGAACATGTTGGACACCGGACGTACCGCAAATGCTTCGAACAAAAACGATTTCGACCGTCGTAAATACACAATATTTATTATAATAAGAATTATATTCATTTTCATTATTAATAATCAGTAAATAATTGTGGAATTTTCAAAGCATTTCCCACCCCCAAAATATTGAATTATCAACATTATTTTTGGTCGAGCATTAACGATGAATGGTACTCCGGATTTATATAACAAACACTTGAAAAACATTTGGTTCTAAAATAATAAWTTTATTTTGAACTGGTACCTATAATACGAATACTTATAGTATTTTTAGAATTTGTTTGATTTACGTTTATGTTATTCCAAGACCTAAGTCAAAATTATCAATAATTAAAAATGTATACACTACCTATAGGTATATTATTTTCATTTATTCTTCAAGATTTAATTGGCCCCAATTAATATGTTCGTGTAATATTGTATATGAAATAGCATCAGAGAATAAGATTTTAACTTATTTAAAAAATATATTTGCGCAAATACTACGGTCTACGAGTTCCTTGCCTCGAATGCATAATATTACTAATAAATATAATAAATAAATATATTATGTATAATATTATATACCTTATTAACTTTGATAAATATTCATCATAATACATTCAAATATTCAATTAAAAATGACAGATTTTAAGTTGTTAATATGTTATTATCAAAATACTACAAATAATATCATATAACTACAGTTTCATAAAGTTGTCGAGTTTATTATTTTATAAATATCTTCGATATGAACTAAAGTAGTTATTATTCAGAATAAAATAATTGCTAGAATAGAAAACTATAATTTATGTAAAAAAATTAGTTTTTAGGAAAAGCGTCTAGCTTATATGTAAAGTTAAAATGATTAGCGGCTTAATGCAGATAAACGAGTGATTTATAGATAAAAATGTAATTAAATCGCTCATACAACGGATCATGCAAGAGTAGGTACGTAGTTGMAGTGTACGTCTACAAATTTAAGTTTAACTATTTTTAAGTTAGTACTTACATTGAACACTCGATCCATGCTATACCAACATCAATAGAATTATAATATTTGCTTCACAAACGATTTGATATATTATTAAAATAATTTGTTTGAATAATCGATCGATATCGTGATTAAAATATGTATCGCAGCGTTATGTTCTGTAAGTATTATGATTATAACTCGTCTCATGAGATTTCGTGTGACAACGGTCCCAGCACCTCCGTAGTCGATACGGTATAAAATATTATGAGTATGCAGGCATACAATGTTATAATATAATTGCCGATATCAATTTTATTCTTCGATCTCACTATTGGTTAGTGGTTGACTTCATGATACAGTCATGTATAATGTGTACATACAAAATGTAGGGTATTACCAAACGGCTGATAAAATAATATCTAAAACTGTTTGCAGTCGATGAGCTACGTTATCCTTATCTTTGAGAATGATAATCGATATAGGTACATATTATTTATACAATGAAACCGATTATTTATTTCGGTTCATCCGAAATGAACAAGTCAGAGAGTTCGTACTCGATTCTCAATTTTAGTATACTTTACCACATGACGCTTTCAGGCTTCAGCATCAGTGAAGAATGACATAGCACTCCTTCCACCCTTACTTCTCTTACAAATAGGAAAATAATATATTATGTCGCATTTTTGATTCTTAAAAGGACACCACATCTGTATGACTGTATGTATAGTCTCAACTAACATACAAACGAAGGTATAACATATAAAATTTGTGTTCTTGAGTTCCGATCAGAGGTGTAGCCAGGGGGGGGGGCTTCGAGTCGAACCAGTCGAAATTTTTCCATTAATAATAATAAGTAGGTATATTATTTATATTATTTATTTACGAATACTGCAGTAMAAACTTGGTGTAATTTTTACTTTTCTTCCTTCCCATTACCTATTACCTACTTAAATRTAAGAATATTAACTATGTGTTTTACAGTAATACCTATTTATTTTTTAAATATTTTATATACTCAAAAGTCAAAAGTTACTCAAAAATTATGAAATAGTAAATAACTTTGGGAAAACCCAAATGATACTTTAAAGTTTTAATTTACTATATTATTAAAATATAAATGTTACTAAACAAACTTGAAGGTACACAAAATATTTGCTAAGAAAGAGATAACGTCATGTCATGACGTGATTGTGGCATCATCTTATGGATTGCAATTTGTTTGATAACAATGACAACGTTTTACCTTTTTTGGTTTTGTAAAATATTGAAAATTAAAAATTGTAAATACTATGTAAACACATAATCAAAATTGTAAATTTATGACATTGTAAAAATACTTGGTGTATTGACACAAWATAATTAATAAATAAAAAAAAACCTTTTTTGGCGTATGATTCAAAACACTCAAAATAGCAGTGGTCGTCCTAACCACACAGTAAAAAAAAATGGTCAACGTTCAAAACCGTATACTTTTATACATCGATTCCGCAAAGTTTTCTGCCGTCAAAATATTGTTAACAACCAAAGGTGCCGTGGGATAAAAAAGTTTGAATACCTCTGACTTATCATATACCTACTCTAACTTGCTCTCTTTGTAAATTTCAAAAACCATCATTTTAAAAAGGTTATAGAATACGTAAGTACCAAAATAGAAAAAAAAATKTATTAAAAGCGTGGTAAATTATAGCGTATTTGTTATGAGTGAAAACCGTGACATTGCTTACTTCCATAACTTCGAAACTAAGTCTGAGTGATACATTCTGATTGCACCATCGTTATTAACTCGACGATTTACATAAGTTTCGATGAAAAAAAAATGAAAATGACGAGGAGGAACTAAACTGCATAGTGCATTTGTTCCAAGATCAATTATAAATTTATAAATAACATAATTTGTAGTTATTATTAAAGTTATAAAATCATATGCATAAAATTATTTTCACGACAATTTATTTAATATCAATAAATGTTTAACTGTCAATCAAATGTGTGCGATTTTTGAATTATTGACGAATGTCGAATAATAATAATAAATATGCTGATTGCTATGAATCTATCGGCATTGCCCGTTTTTGTGAAAACATTAATTAGTGTATTCCCTTAACAATTACTATGGTTATGTTTATTCTTCAATCGTGGTATAGAATTGGTTGGTACCAACTATAGTTAAGCCTGTGTGGATATAATATTAAAATATAATTTAACCATCATGTACCTCTATGTTAAATGATTATTAATTTCGCGTTACATTATCACTGAATAACGAATATTTAATGAAATTTGTAAAACTCGTAGACATATTATATACTTGCTCGTAGAGTTGTCTAAACATATCTTGTTAAAGCCATTGTTATTCTAACGTAAAATTTTCGTTAAGTAGATAGGTAAGTACCTAAAATTGTTTTTGTCGATCATACTTATCAAATCATGGATAATTATTTTAAGAAAATGAAACGAATGGAAGAAGAAATGAACAAGTAATTTCTACTTTAAGTCTTTAGTCTCTACTTTAGTCTATATATCTACATATTCTACATATGGGTAAAATAAAATAATTTTATATTTTTAAACTTGTCTATAAGTTTTACGAATGTTGTTTTCAAAAACTCGAAGCAATAATTGTTTTTTTCGTGTTAAACGTAACTTACGTACAAAATAGAAAACTTTTGTTCACCACTTTCCATAGTATATGTTGTTAATTTTTAATTTTTGATATTTCACATACCCATATCTTACTTTAAAATGAAAATATCAAAAAATCACCGTCGCTTAAGCACGGATAATATTCTTACCTAAAGATTTGATTTTATATCAATTTACTCTAATAAGTCTAATATTAAAACTAATAACTAAACTACATACTATTGAAACTATCAAACGAAATTTTTTCATGTCGTAAGCGTGTAAGATGAAGACAACAAACACATGGTCGGTAGCATATGCAATCTAGCATCCTATATTAATGAATATCAATATATAATAAATTAATAACGAATAAGTGACACTTAACTAATAAGTTTTAAGTGTTCATTTTGATCAAATAGGGTTTTTACACTCCTGGCAAGGCAGATTCGACAATAATTGTAATTTAAATTGAAATTCCGTGAGGAGTTCCCTCACAGCCACACAATATATTATATTTACTGCAAGCACAACTTTGTTAATATTCATTTTTCCATCGAAAAATTTACTTATTATTATCATTTGAGGTATAATCGTATAATATGTATTAAATTTGAAATGTTCATTTAGATTTGAACAAGATATTGGCATAAATAATAATGTCAATGATGATAATAAAACTAAAAATCGTTTTAAAAAAATGAAAATTCATGGTCATAATTTCAAACAATCTTYCTCGGATATTGCATTATCTAAAGAAATCAATTCACTGTTACAGGATCAAAGCGCATCTACTTTAATTTCTAAGTAAGACAATATAAGTATCTAGACAATGGTACCTATTGGCTATTTATATCACATATTTAATTTTAAAAAATTTTAAATTGTTAAGCAAATTTAAACAGTAAACACCCATAATATTGTTCATCAATATTTACAAGTATATACCTATTATAACAATGTTTAGGACAAAAACTAAGTCTTTGATAGATAAAAGTGGACTAAATAGCAAAGCACACATAGCAATTGCAGCGGCTGGATGTGCATCATCGTCTTCCAAATTATTCAGTACTAAACAAAAACAATTCTATCGTAGAGCGGCTGGAAAGGTTTGGTACGATCCAACTTTGGAACAATGGTCAAATGGTGAGCATAATTTTACTCAATTTTTTAATTTGTAGGTACCTATATTAAACTAATAATAATGATTATTGTTTAAGTATTTAACTTATTTTAACTAAAAGATGTGTGAATGTGAACAACGGCGTTCATCGTGTATTCATGTACAAATAATTACTTATTTGCTTATTATTTTTTGTTGGGCTTGTAAGAATATATAGTTCCATAAATGCTAAATAATGAACATATTTAGGAAGCATTGAACTTATATAAATACGTATATAAATTTCAATTGATCTCTACTATAGTTCATTATTATTTATTTTAAGCTAACCATCATTCATCAAATACATAAGCAAATATTTTGTATGTGTTTGTTGTTACCTACTATTCTATTTGTAGCAAATAAAAATAAATCACTATACATTAGTAACCAAGAAGGTATGATAATATGTAATTATGTAAATATTTGTAAAATATTTGTTTATGTCTACGCTGATAAGCAGGATATAATATAAAATTATCAAACAGATGATTTTCGTCTATTCGTGGGAAATTTGGGAAGAGAGGTTAATGATCGTATGTTGAGTATGCCATTTATGCAGTATCCTTCATTCGTCAAAGCTCATGTAGTAAAAAATCGTGAGACAAGCATGTCACGAGGTTGTTACGGATTCGTATCATTTGGAAATTCTGTGGACTATTTAAGAGCTATCAAAGAATTACAAGGTAATATAAAAATTGAATATAAAATAAAATAGGTAGGTATAAAATTAAACATAATATGTATATAGCAGTGTCTCCACATATAAAATATACTATCAATACTTTGTGTATATGTAAGTACCAGAAGTGGTCAAAGGGGAAAAAGTTAATGGGGGGGGGGGATTCTATTAACCTTTTTTCAACATTAATATATTATATAAAACAGAGTAACAGAACATAAATGATTTATGATCAAATAATGTGTGTTAAAAAATCAGCTACACTTCCTCCCCTCAAATGACGAAATCATATCAATCACCACTGATAGCGATAAGTGCGATGAATCTAGGTATAAATGTCCGGAAAAAAATGTCTTTGGTAAAATTGTCCAAAAACAAATTTATCCATGGTGAAATTGTGAAAAAAAAATCATATAATTTACACAAACACATATTACCTAATTAAAATTTATAAACGTCAATGATAAATATTTTAAAAAGTTGTCAATACTTTTTTTATTATTGTTGTACCCCTCACATACTTTTTTTAATTTAAATCAAAAATAGGATAATATATGTACAGGTTAAATATAATATTGTACATAATATACCTATACATACTAGTAGAACTAAATGCGCATTTACAACATTGACTATAATAATAGGTATTTAAAAAAAAAATAAAAATTTATTAATTATGTTACTTACGTATAATATGTTGTAACAAAATTGTCACGATAATCTTATCGTAATAACCGTTACACGATGTTAATCA